GCCGTTCCTGAAAACATAGACATGCTCATTGGAGCATCGCTTTTCCCTCATCTTTTGTTAAACAATAAGGTCAGGGGCAACTCCTTGCATACCGCGCCTTACGCACTGGAAACCGTATTGGGCTATGTTATCGTTGGCTCCGCCCCCATCATAGATAGTATTTCGGCAACCTCTTATTGTGGTATGGCTGTCGAACCGCTCGAGTCGTTAGTCCGCAAATTTTGGGAGATGGAGGAGGTGCACGTCCCACACATAGCTAGCTCAGATGACAGATTATGCGAGGAAATTTACGTCCGCACGACCGTTCGTGATCGCGACGGTAGATATAGTGTAGCGCTACCCTTTAAAGGAGATGTTTTATCTCTCGGCGATTCGCGTCAAATGGCGGAAAAAAGTTTCTACAGCTTGGAACGTAGGATGCTCGCCTCACCCCAGAAGAAGCTTATGACGGCATCATTAACGAATATATAAGAGAAGGTTACACATCACTCGTGGCTTCGAAATTAGATAATTACGAAGACACACCGTCGTATTTCATACCACACCACGGGGTCATTAGGGAGGACAAACTTACATCTAAGTTACGTGTAGTGCTCGACGCTAGTGCTAAAACTAGCACTCACCTGTCGCTTAACGATATCCTCTATAGTGGGCAAAATTTACAGGGCAGTTTATTTAACATAATAGCCAATTTTCGTTTGTTTAGTATAGCACTATCCACCGATATTCGCCAAATGTTTCTTTGCATAGGGGTCCGTGAATGCGACCGTAGATTCCAACGCATTTTATATCGTTTCAACCCAAAGGAACCTCTAATGGTGTTTGAATTTAACCGCGTTTGTTTTGGTTTAAAGTCGAGTCCATTTCATGCGTTACGCACGGTGAAACAGCTCGCCCACGATGAAGGTCCCTCTTACCCTAAAGCTAAGAGGGCAATTGAGAGCAGTTTATATATGGATGATTTTGTATACTCGGTCGATAGCGTAGAGAAGGCCACCCTAATCACCGCCGAGGTTATAAGGCTCATGAAATCAGGTCAATTCGATCTTGTGAAGTGGACTAGTAATTCGCGTCCGGTTTTAGATACAATCCCACTATCACACCGTCTTTCGGCGATAAAGGAATTCGACGATTCTGATACACACAAGGTGCTCGGTCTGTGTTGGTCACCAGAGTCCGACGTGTTTAGCCTTAAGGTAAATCCGCCCGTAGAGAAATGCACAAAGCGCAAAATACTGTCATGCGTTGCTAGATTATGGGATGTCATAGGTTTCGTAGCTCTAGTGGTATTATACGCTAAGCTTTTGATTAAACAACTTTGGTTATTTGAATGCGATTGGGATGATTCGCCGCCTGACAGCATTGTTCGGTTGTGGCAGCATTTTAGAGAGGAACTTCCTTTACTAAGAGAAATTAAAATACCGCGTCATATAAACGTCGATAGAAATAGCGTCATAACGTGGTTTGCAGACGCCAGCGAGAAGGCTTACGGGGGCGTTGTATATTACCACGTTCAGAATAATGGTAGAAATTCGATTAGTCTCATTAGTTCTAAGACGAGAGTCTCCCCCCGTAAGGTTGTCTCTCTGGCGCGCTTAGAACTTTGCGCAATATTAGTACTCACCAAGCTTATTACCGCAGTTATCAGCGCATGTAGGGATAGCGCAATGGCCAATAACCGATTTCGAACCTTCGTCAGTGTCACAACCGCCGGAAGAGAAGAGACACGCTCTAGTAGCGAACGTTTCGAGCGAGGTATCTCCAATCATTGCTTTGGCGAACCGCTTGTCCTCTTGGTCGAAATTATTGCGTAGCGTAATTTACGTTTGTCTATTCGCAAAGCTTTTACCGCGACGTTCGTATGTCTTGGCGTCCGATTACAACTATGCCGAGTCGCTAGTATTACGTGAACTTCAACGTGCACACTTCTCTGAAGAAATTACAAGATTACAATCGAATAGAGCTTGTAGTCGCGTCTTTCAACGCCTTAAGCCATTTTTACAGGATGGGATTGTAAGGGTAGGTGGACGCTTGTCCAACTCGCAATTGAGTTTCGACCAACGGCACCCTATAGTTTTACCGCGCAAAGACCATATCATGAATTTATTAGTGGATTACCATCATAAATTGAATTCCCACGCTGGCCCCGACTTGCTGATGTCGATCTTGCGTCAGAATTATAGGATTCTTTCTGCACGTAGTTTAATATGCAATCGGGTGCACAGATGTATAGCTTGCTTTCGGGCACGCCTCAAGCCGGTATTTTCGGAAATGGCGGAACTTAGATCTTGTAGAGTAATACAATCAGTAAAGCCCTTTACGCACACCGGGTCGGATTTCGCTGATCCGTTTAAGGTCACGCTCACTCGCGGGCGTGGTATAAGATCCACAAAGGCTTACGTCTGCATTTTTGTATGTCTAACTACTCGAGCAGTGCATATAGAACTCGTTGGTGATCTCAGCACAGCAGGCTTTATGGGTGCATTTAAAAGATTTCTATCCCGCCGTGGCCCTGTAAAGTCTAAAGAGTCACTTATACCGAGTAATAGGAAATCAAATTTTGTCCTTCGAAGAGCTAAGTACGGTGCTCGCTCAAATCGAATGCGTAATGAATAGCCGCCCACTTTGTCGTACGTTGTCTAGTGACCCCTCGGAACCGCTGGCTCTAACTCCAGCACATTTTTTAAATTTTAACGCCTTTAAAGTATTTGCCCGCCGTAGATATGGATGAGAACAGACTTAGCATTTCCGCACGCCACAAATTATTAGACCGGTTAGTGCAATCGTTTTGGAAACGATGGAGGATGGAATACTTGCATACTTTGCAGTCTCGGCAAAAATGGAACACAGCAACTGAGCCTTTAGCTGTAGGAACTGTAGTTGTGCTCACCAAAGAGAATACGCCGCCACTCCACTGGCCGTTAGGAATTGTCGAAGAGGTTTTTCCCGGTTCCGACAGAGTAATTAGGGTAGCTCGCGTTAAGACCACGGTTGGGTCTTACCTGCGTCCTGTTGTCCGTTTGTGCCCCCTGCCTCTTCCATAATTTAAATTAGCTTTCTAGATAAGAAATTGTAGTTGAATTTAGGTAATCTTAGCGTTAGTTAGTTATTTTGTTAGTTTGATCTTAGCTCCAGTTGTTTTAGTTATTTTTTGAAGGAAATCCTTCAAGGGCGGGGGAGATGGTTGCGCGGACAACCATTCGTATTTATTTATTTTGACGGTAGGCTGCCAAATCGGTTATCCCTTTCCAAAACGATATCATTCATACCCTCCTATCGACACATCGGGGGGGGGGGGTGGGAGGGGAAAGAAGATGATTCTAGAAATCTAGAATATCACGTAATCATCGCAACCGAAGGAATAAAAGGCACGCGCGACCGACGCACGCCCTCTTCCCGCCGCGCTCGTTGTTGGAACCACACCGCTAGTAGAACCGCTTTAGCCTGGAAGCAGTCGAGCTCCAGGAAACCCGCCTCACCTCGTGTGAGATATAGTCGCGCACCGCCTCTCTCCAGAGTGTCTGTCCAGAAGAAGTTCCAGAAGTCGCAGTTATAGTGCCCAACAGCATAGAAGAGACCCCCGGTGAGTCAATATTCCTAATAATATAGCCTGCTTGATATAACTGTGTTTTAACCCGCTCCAATTTTATTTTCTCCTAATCAAGCAGGATTCCTTTCATCGATTTGGCAAATAATAGTTCGTTTTTAGGGAAGAGCGAGTGCATTGTACCGCATGCTATAGTCGCCGTTTATATAAGTGTAGAAACATTTTGTAGATACAGTCCACTTAGATTAATAGCTCGTGTAAAGGGTTTAAGATTCAACCGGGGAATTAGACTTCGGCGACCTTAGACTCGACGCTCCACCATATTCTAAGAACTGAACTGAACAAGATTCATTGATTAAAACTACTTTTACGGATTTTATCGCGTTTTATTTATATTAATTTTAATACCCGACGTTTCGGGTGCTTTCCAGCACCCATGGTCACGGGGGACTGAGGTGACTGACGTCCCGATGTCAAAGTTAACCCGGAGTACCAGCTTTTTAATTATTGTCTTTGGTCCGATCTAGACGCTACCGATAAAGACAATAATTGAAAAGCTGAAGGTACTCCGGGTTAACTTTGACATCGGGACGTCAGTCCCTCAGTCCCCCGTGACCACGGACCAAGATGTTAGAGATCGTAGTCTTTTATATTGAAGTTGCTTATTATTTATCTACCCACAATTTATTTATTTTTTTGTTTTACAAAAGAGTATCGTAAATTGAAATAATCCGTAATTCGTCGTTAACTAATTATTGCTTTTTTGTGCCACTTACTTTCGTAATATAGAATGCAATATAGAATTATTTTCATCTTCAGGGAAAAGCAAAAATTAAAACTAGTTATTATTTAATTATCCTTATGTTTTTTTTCTTTTAATAAGGGTATTACTTCCATAATGGGTACGTAGATAGGTGTAGTTGCAAAAATATAGCGTGGTTTTCCACGCTAAATTTAGAAGAAAGAAGTTAAATTGTCATTATTTTTTCATAGTTTTTTTTTCAAAAGGATTAATAAACTTGTTTTTCCTCTTTGTGCTTTTCCTGAAAGAATCTTAAGAAATCTTATGTAATTCGAATTCGAACACTGAAAATTTTGATAACATGTGTAGGAACCAATAACTTATGATAATGAATTAATCTGACGTTGAATTGATACCGAAGATTATATTTTAAGCTATTCTATTGAAAGTTTCAGATACGAATACAATGGATAACATTGCACTCGGTCGAGCGAAGGGCCGCTGACCAATGAAGTTGACTCACCCAGGTTTGGGGGTGAAAATGAGCCCAGGTTAGAGGGCCAAAGGATGCTCAGATTAGAGAGCAGAGCATCACCCAGGTTTGGGGGTGAAAATGACCCCAGGTTAGAGGGCCAAAGGATGCTCAGATTAGAGAGCAGAGCATCACCCAGGTTTGAGGGTGAAGGTGAGGCCAGGTTAGACGGCAGGAGGATGCTCAGGTTAGAGAGCAAGGAATCACTCAGGTTTGAGGGTGAAGGTGAGCCCAGGTTAGAGGGCCAAATGATGCTCAGATTAGAGAGCAGAGGATCACCCAGGTTTGAGGGTGAAGATGAGGCCAGGTTAGAGGGCCAGAGGATGCTCAGGTTAGAGAGCAGGGAATCTTCCAGGTTTGAGGGTGAAGGTGAGCCCAGGTTCGAGGGCCAGAGGATGATTTGGTTAGAAAGCAGGGAATTGCCCAGGTTTGAGGGTGAAGGAGAGCCCAGGTTAGAGGGCGAAAGAACACTCTACACAAACATGAATAAAAGGAATTTGGGAAGAAGGAACAAAACAACACTAAAGGATGACGGACTTAGGAGACGACGTATTTATGTGACTGATTTAGATAGCTCCGTAGAAGTACGAAGAGGTGAAGGGAAAAACTAACAAAGGAGATACGATCAGAATGAAAAGCACAAATTGAGAAGAAGGTGCCGGAGTGGCAGTTCCAGCTGTGAGTCAGTTATTCTTAATAGTAGCTGTAAGAAAATAAAATCTGATACTAACCTTATAACCTTACTATTAACGTTAAAAGTTCAGAAAAGCCTAAATTATCCTTTAACACTTATGTTATACTAGAATTCGACCCCATGAGCAAGGAGCAAACAGTGCCGGAATGGATCAATAAAGTAGAAGAGTGCGCGGAGATTTATGGGTTCCCACCCAGAGACGGAAATAATACATTATGCTTTACCGAAACTTGTAGGGGTTGTTAAGACCTGGTACCAAGGCATACTATCACGATTGCTCACATGGAGTGAATGGAAAAAAAGTTAATCGACGAAATGCTAAGTAAACGTGTCAAATATTGTGAGTTTTTGGAGTACTATTATTATGCGAAAATAAATTTATTAAATAGATGTAGAATACAGGGAAGGCAAGCGGTAGATTGTATTTTATATGGAGTAGATGACCGATGAGGTTCGGCCGCACATGGAATACTGTTCCCGTCTCTGGGCTGGGGATCCCCAGTACCAGCTCCTTCCACTTGACAGCATCCAGCACCGAGCGGCTCGAATCGTCGACGACCGAGTGCTTTCCGATGGGCTTGATTCACTTGCACTGCGAAGAGATGTTGCATCTCTTTGCGTATTTTGTCGCATCTATCACCGGCATTGCTCTGAGAAATTGTTCGGATTAATCCCAGCTGCCAAATTTCATGAACGCACTACGCGGCATATCTCCCGATACCATCCACACCATCTGGATGCTTGACGGTCCACCACTGTAGGTTTCATTAGAAGTTTTCTTCCGCGTACGACCTCTCTATGGAATAATTTTCCACCGTCGATTTTTCTGGACCGATATGACCTGGAGACCTTCAAGAAAAGAGCTACTCCTTTTTAAAGGGCCGGCAACGCACCTCCCATTTCCCTGGTGTTGCGATTGTTCATGGGCTGCGGTAGTCCCTTATCAGGTAAACCGTATGCTCGTTTGTCCCTCTTTTATAGCAAAAAAGTAATAATAATTAACAACAACTAAGCATAGTTTTCTCTGAGAGCTTTTCTCAAAATCTTTCCAGAAGGGTGTCATGGCAAACTTTTCATAAATTCAACATCATTTAATATTTTAAAGGATGCAACCCTGTCTTCAACAATTTTTTTTTACATTAATGGAGTCTTGTTTACACCCATCTTTAACAAACCAAAAGCCTTAGGTACTTCAGCCAGTTTAGCATCTGGGATATTATTTGAGTATACTTTCTAATTCATCTTGAGCGACTTGGAAACCTTTCACCTGAAAGTATATATAATAATTAAATAATAATATTTATTAATTTAATATTAATTAACATCCTGAGTCTTTATAATTATAATTAGGTTCAGTGTATGTAATAAGTAAATGAAATAAAATATAAAACAATACTGGTGAAAAGTAGTTAAACTTTTACTGTATAACCTTGACACTTGACACTTTGCACGTCAACTTGTCGTTTAATAAACAAATTTGTTTCGACTGGGAGCATCGTCATAGTAAAACGGAACCGTTCGGTATAATAAATAAGTGTATTATGTACTCGTATGTACCCTAATGAGCTCCTTTATTCTATTACGTATAGTGACTACACCGTCGTAATCAATAGAAGCTAAGTCACCTGAACTAAACCATCCATCATCTAATGATTTCTTAAATTTACGCGAACAATACACATTGAATAAAACTATTATTTACGGATTTTATCGCGTTTAATTACTTTAATTTATTTTTATTATTAGCCCGACGTTTCGGGTGCTTTACAGCACCCATGGTCACGGGGGGGACTGAGATGTTTGACGTCCCAATGCCATAGTTAGTCCGGCTACCTTCAGTTTTTTAATATTAATTTTTTTTATTAATTTTTGGTCCGATTTACGCAAAACGAGCTTATAGTATCATGAAGTCTTGCAGTGGTATGCTTGGGTTTGGGTTTAATTTTGTTAATTATAGGATCCCAAGCAGATGGTAGCATCCAACCATCTTCTCTATTGAAATTTGGATGTTTTTTAATTTCAATAGCCTCGCGTATCATCCTTGGTAGGAATCGGTGTTCTTTTGCGAGAATTTGAGGTTTATCAAATCTAATGTAATGGTGGGGACGATCTTGAACATAATGATTTCTTATATTTACGCGAACACTACACATTGAAATAATACTAATTTTTACGGAATTTATCGCGTATATTTAACTTTTTTACCCGACGTTTCGAGAGCTTTACAGCACCCATGGTCACGGGAAGGACTGAGATGTTCAACGTCCAGCTGTCATAGTTAACCGCGGTTACCATAGATTAAAATTTAACTTTTGTTCCGATCTACACAGTATGAACTTATGGTATCATGGAGTCTTGCAGTTGTATGTTTGGGTTGGGATTTAATTTTATTTATTATAGGATCCCAAGCAGATGGTAGCACCCAGCCATCTTCTCTATTGAAATTAGGATGTTTTTTGATTTCAATAGCCTCGCGAATCATCCTTGGAAGGAATCGGTGTTCTTTAGCGAGGATTTGTGGTCTATCAAATCTGATGTAGTGACGGGGGCGATCCTGTACATGTTCACAGACTGCAGACTTCCCGGAGCGTCGATTCTTCACATCAGCTATATGTTCTTTGACGCGGGTTTTAATTGATCTTTTAGTTTGTCCTATGTAGGAGAGACCACATTCACAATCAAGCTTGTACACTCCTGCATCTTGCAGAGGGACGTTACACTTGACTGATGGTAAAAACTGAACAATCTTCTTCGGCGGCTTGAAGTATGTTTTGATGGAAGCGCGCTTCAAGATGTAGCCAATCTTGTCAGTGACTCCTCTAACATACGGCAGTACAGCAGGTACACGCTCGACTGTGGCCGGCTTCACTCGTTCTCTGTGACGTAGGCGCGGGACCCGAAGCTTGTTGTCATGCAAAACTTGCTTGACATGTTGGAGCTCGGCAGCCAGGTGTTTGCTGTCACAGATCCCTCGTGCTCTCTGAAACAAAGATTTACCCACGGTAGCTAACTGTGAAGGATGGTGGTGAGAATCACCGTTTAAATATCTATCTGTATGGGTCTCTTTTCTATACACAGTATGGCTCAAGGTGTTATCAGGATTCCGAATTACTAACACATCTAGAAAAGCTAAGGAATTGTTTGCCTCTAACTCCATTGTGAACTGAATTTTAGTATTTATAGAGTTAAGATGGTCTAAAAATGCAGTTACTTTATCTAAAGGTAGAATTGTGAAAGTGTCGTCTACGTACCGCTTGTAGAATCTTGGATTTATGGGAGAAGTAAGCAGGGCTTTCTCCTCAAAGTCTTCCATGAATATGTCGGCGACAATGGGAGATACAGGTGAGCCCATCGCCACACCATCTACTTGCTTGTAGAACTCCTCCTTCCACAATAGGTAGCCAGATGTAAGGCAGTGTCTGAGTAATACTGCATATTCTACGGGCATGTTGTTTTCTTCCAGCCTTCTAGTTACAATTGAGATGCAGTCTTCAACAGGTAAGCATGTAAACAATGACTGCACATCAAAACTGACCATAGTTTCATTGTCTGCCAGACGTAGGTCTTTAATCTCGCTGACAAAATGTTATTGTATGTTAGATCGGAACAAAAGTTAAATTTTAATCTATGGTAACCGCGGTTAACTATGACAGCTGGACGTTGAACATCTCAGTCCTTCCCGTGACCATGGGTGCTGTAAAGCTCTCGAAACGTCGGGTAAAAAAGTTAAATATACGCGATAAATTCCGTAAAAATTAGTATTATTTCAACGATCTTGAACATGTTCGCAGTCTTGAAGTCTGCAGTCTGCGAACATGTTCAAGATCGTCCCCACCATTACATTAGATTTGATAAACCACAAATTCTCGCAAAAGAACACCGATTCCTACCAAGGATGATACGCGTGGCTATTGAAATTAAAAAACATCCAAATTTCAATAGAGAAGATGGTTGGGTGCTACCATCTGCTTGGGATCCTATAATTAACAAAATTAAACCCAAACCCAAGCATACCACTGCAAGACTTCATGATACTATAAGCTCGTTTTGCGTAAATCGGACCAAAAATTAATATTAAAAAACTGAAGGTAGCCGGACTAACTATGATATTGGGACGTCAAACATCTCATTCCCCTTCGTGACCATGGGCGATGTAGAGCACCCGAAACGTCGGGATAATAATAAAAATAAATTAAAGTAATTAAACGCGATAAAATCCGTAAATAATAGTTTTATTCAACATCCATCATCTGTTATACTTGTATAACAGCTTTAGTCGCTTCTAGATTGTTTCTGTATCCTTTCATAATTTGAGGTCCATTTATTATCAACTCACCAACCTATGTAAATTATTCAATATAATAATTTATTTTCCTCAATCGTGGCAACTATGGCGAACTCCCCTTATATATATGAGGCCATCTATCTATAAGGGAGACCTATATTTAACAGTGAACTTTCATAGATTGGATGAAATTAATAAAAGGATGACTATAGTATTACATGAAGCACACTCAATCAATGGCCAACTTAATACTTGCAGTTCGCTGAAACACAAGTATTTTCTGAATGCGAAATGAGAAGAGCAAAGGGGAAACACTTGAAGCGAGAGCACATTGTGGAACAGTAATGCGATTTTGCTACTAAAGCTTGTAATTATATCAATTTTACCTTCCAAAAGAGTAATCCCTTACATAAATTCTTGTAGTTGGTTTAATAAGACGGGAATTAAAAGAGTAATTCAGAATTTCATTTTTTTAATTACTTTTTTTATTTATTATTATATTTGATAGAGCTGTGCTGCTTAGCACAAATGGCCTGGGGAAAAGACCATACTGTCATAAAATACTAGAGTAAAACAGCAGCTCAATAATGCTGCTGTGTTTTTGTATGGTGAATATGGAAAGCTGAAACCAT